AATAGTACGAAGTAGACCAAACATTTTACTCAACCATATATGTAAGACAACATGACAGTCTTCTGCTCTTTTCATTTTTTTTTGTCTCTTCTTGTCTCGCGCAGTGCCTGTGCAAGTGTTTTGTGTGGTTAGAAGAACGGGTACGGCGGGGGCGGTCGGCGCTTCAAAATGGCCTTAATCTTCTGTTTGCACCACGAGTCATGCTGCTTCTCAGCGAGCAGGTAGTCGGCGCGGAACTTCTTCGCCCTGTCCACCGGCAGCTTGAGCATCGTCTCGTTGTGCTTGATGATGCGTTCCACGTCCGTGCGCATGTGGTGCTGCATAAACGCCGCGACCTCGAGACCGACGCCCACAAGCTGCCGAACTGCCTCCTCGTCCGTCTCGCTGGAGTACTTGTAGAACTCCACGAGTACTCGGTGACGCGACCAAAAGAGTTTCGATCGGTCGTGAAAGTATGCCGCGCGCAGACTCTTCATGAGCTGCCGGTAGCACAACTGCTGCGGTGTCCACTGCAACCCCCGGCTGGCGGCCGCCTCGCCAGGCACGTACGGCGCCGCTGCTGCATGACAGGCTGTGAGGCGGCCGCAGCGCATACACCGCTCTTCCTTGACGACCCCGCCCCGTGTGAGAGAGCGTCTGTGCCACGCGAAGGGAGGGCGAAATCAAGGGGTGAAAGGAAAACACATCACAAAAACAAGCAAACAAAAAAGTATCTGGAATTCACAAGATGCAGTGAAAAAGAAAGAGAGAGAGAGAGAGAGTTTACGAAGAAAGGAGAGAAAAGTTAAGGGAGGGATAGAGAAAAAAAAAGAAATACAGTTAAGATGACGAAGAAACACACACGCACACGCACACGCACACGCATGCACGTACACACTGTTCAGAAGAACAAAAAAAACAAGACAAGAAGAAATAATCAAAGATCCAAGAAGTGTGTGAGCGGCCCTTCCGACTCTATTTTCAGCCCTTGACGATTGCCGTACGTTCCGTTAATGACACGACCCCCTTGTGGGAACGCTGGGGAAGCCACCGCTTCCTTTGCCGCCACCCCGTTCGCGTCCACGGAGGACGCATCGATGCCTCTCGCGGCCCGAAGAAGCTGGCAAAAGCGGTCATACAACCACAACCCCCGTGACTTTTCCACCAACGCGTGGAACTGGACGCGGTGACCCTTGAGTTTCCCACCAAGTGAAGCCTGCGGAACGACAAGAATGTCGGCGTCAGGGCAGTCGTTCAGCGACACGGTGGAGGTCATTGGAGCGCCGCCAGGCAAAGAGCGCCGGAGGAGGATGCCACTCATGAGGGCCGCGACGGCCTGCTCAAGCGCGGCGTCGTCCACGTCCCCCAGGAAGGCGACATAAATCACAACCCCGCGGCCAACCGGGACGTAGCGTTCGGCGTTATCGACGAGGATCGCACCCTTTTCAATGGACTGCAGCAACACGCGAATCGTCATTACCCGCAGAAGCTAGCAACAAAAACAAAACAAAAAAAAAGGCACACACACACACACACGTAACTCACAGTGGCCCGCTATAGAAGATACATTCTAATACAACCTCCCCGCCCAGAAGCGCACAAACGCAATGCGGAAACAAAGAAGACGCTTCCCCATCCACTGTGCTATTTAAACACGATGTGCTCAACACCGCAACCCCATTTCTCTTGCCATTACCCCCTTTTCTCTTCATTGCCTCAGTTTCCAGCCCCGTGTTTAAGTTCCAGAACCATCAAAAGGAAGAAAAATAAAATAAAAATAGACCCCGAAAAAACAACAACAACAATAGAAAAAAAATAGCGCATACTCCGAGTCCCCTCTCCCCATAAAGTCGCCGTTCTGCGTCCACAAGGGCGTTTCATTGACTCGATGCAGCAACAACTGGCACAGCATGTGGGTCGAAGTTCATCCCAGCGTGCGCCAACGCGATTGGCGCCTCAGGATAGTTGAGCCAAAAAAATAAAAATAAAAATAAAGAAAATCAATCCCCCCAAAACCTCCTTACGCACCCCCTTTACCAAAGAAGCACGACGACGATGAGCAAAGCACCCAAAGTAGAAAGAAGCATTATACATGACGCATGTAGGCCGGGGAATCCTGTTGCAACATCTCTGCCCTCGCAAGGCACGCCACAGATCGTGGTTCGTAACGCACATTTTCTGCGCAATTTTTGCAATACACGCGGTGGAAGATGGCACGTAGATGTTCATTAATTCACCGCCAAAACTGGCAGCCGCTTTCCGTTGGATCTTTACAACGTTGCCAAAGAAATCGCTCCCACAGTTGGGACTAGCAACACCACGGCCTTCCACCACGGCGTCGGTTACAAAACGGAAGCCTCAGTGCCCAGAGTAGTTCCCGCCATCGGCACCGTAAAAACCCGCTCACCCCTGCCAAGGCTCGGGCACGGTGTGCACGCCATGATTCGGCCCTTGCGCCACGTACGCCGTCAGGACCAGAACAAAAGCCTCCTCTGTCATGGCTGTTACTCTGTTGTTGTTCGTTTTTTTTTACGGTAGAAACGTATATATATATATGTTCTTTTAGGCAAAATCAAAAGAAGGAAAAGAAGAGGTGAACCTCTGACCCGAAAACAACAAGGAAGAAGCCATAAAACGTCAGAGACACAAACCAACGCCACACACCGCCCGGACGTCAATCAGCGAAGCGTCGAAATGCAAATAAAAACTAAGTGAAATCATCCCCCCCCCCAAAAATATATATATATATATATATATATATTTATGTGACAACAAACCCAATAGAGTGAGGGAAAGATGCATACGTAATAATAAATATATAAATAGAGGAGGGAGGATAAAGCCGGAGGAACCTGCACAACTTCAGTTTTGACATGCTTACTCTGAATAAAAAAAAAAGACAGCACATCCCACTAAATAAACAAAGCAAAATAAGTGCCGGAGGGGATGGTCAACAGCAAGTGTGAAGGCAGAGAGGAAGTGACCACGTAATGCGCGTGGGGCTGTGAGGAGCTCTGCGTGCCGAGTTCCTTAACCAAAAAAAAAACAAGATTGGCTAGGAATAAGTAAAGCCCACAACAGTTAACAACAACAAAAAAAAACGCATACGCCAAAACCCGGAGAAAAACATATGCACATGTTGTGTGAAAGAGTAAAAAAATAACAATAATCCATTTAATGAGACGACGCCACTTCTGCGCTTGGGCAATTTATAGAGACCGCCAACAGCTGTGGCAACGACGACCACGACCTCTTCTCCTCCTCCTCCTGTTCCGTTCCTTCTGTTCCAGGGGGCTCGTCCTCGGGAAAAGTTTCATGCATCTCCGCTTCATCACGTCGAGTTCTGTGACGGGCACGAAGTCTGTAGACCAAAAAGAGTGTTCCTACGATTAGGAGCAGTGCGGCAACAACGGCGCCCATCACGATGAGCGGCAGCCGCCACCAAGAACCCGGGGACAGCGTGGTCTTTCCCCCCGCCGCCTTCCCAGAATCCTCTGGTTTTGTGGCGGTACTGTTGATCGGTAACCCGAATGCCACTCTGTTTATCGCGCCTGAAGCAAAGATAAGCCTTGCATTCACACAAACGGCATCGTGCACATAGGCGGGGGCCGTGCAACGGTCTACGATCTGAAGTACCGCAATCACACGCCCGGCTGTTTCTGGGAGCAGGATTCGTTGATGTATCTTTCCAGCTAGAGGAAAATATCCACCGAAAATTTCTTTCACAGAACGTAGTCCATGCCTTTGCTTAACCTTTATACGCACAGCAAGATGCATTCGGTCCCACATGGGCCGCATCCCACGACCGAGAGCGGTGGCGTGAGTTCTGTCCGCCCAAAGCGTTTCTTTTAAAATACCGAAGGCATTGACAGTGAGCGGCGAGTATGCCTGTGCGTCGAGCAAAAGTGCGAACTTCCCGGTGGATGTGGAGCAGACAGACAGGGTCGCAGCCCCTGTCTCACTCTTGGGCACCACATCACACGAGGGGAGGCTCGTCTTCGATGCCGGGGAGGAGGATGAAGTAACAGGAGTCGTGGGTGTGTAGGCATGAACCTCAAGTGGTGAAACGGGCGGCAAAATAAGAACGCCTCCGGCAAGAACCGCTGGAGAGCCTCGGGCCCTTAAAGACTTCGTCCGCACATGAAAATTACACTGCTCCCCGCCAAAAGCTGCTGACTCTCCCAGAGTTAACGAAATTGTTGAGGCTGATACAACAGCCATAGACTTTTGCAAGGGGAGACGCGCCCGCTGCTCCGAGCAGGAGGTGCTGTTGTTGGGCATCAACATTTTCGTCTCAAAGCGTGTTAGCCCCTTGGCGCACTGAATTTCCACGACCACCTTGTCGCCCTCCGTGGAGTTGTTTGCAGGGCTCACGACGAGAAAGGGTTTCCGATCCTCTCCGCCGTCATTGGCGACATGGACCTCCGACGGGTCTACCGCCCACCTCCACGTGGGTGCGACCGCGGCCTTGTCTTCTCGCGCCTCGCAGCCGCTTTCGCCGGGGACGGACCCGGTGCTGCAACGACAGCCACCGCTTGCATCATCGAAGGATCCGGGTGGACACATAACACACGGCTCCTGGGCATTCCATTTATTGCCGCTTGGCCGGGTAAATCCCCACGCACAGGGCGGCACCGCCAAGTCCAAATCTTTCCTCAGCCCAACCACAGCGACTGTCGCGTTCTGAACAGAACTATTGCGAGATGTGTGCTGCGATGAATTGGACAGCAATGTAAAGCACTCATACAAGGAACTCGGGGCTGGACTGCCGTCTGAGCCTGGGGCGCGCAGTATAGCTTGCGTGACACACTTCGCCAAATGCACGTCGCCGTCAAATATATTTTCCACATGAGGTGTTCTTGATAAACATCTCAGAGCCGCTTCAAAGAAATTTAGCAGGTAATCGCGATTTCTCATGACCGTTTCATTCGAATCACCCAACATCGCGAAGCGTTCGAGTGGCCAGAGTGTGTGACTGGATCCTGTTTCATTTACCATGTTCCAATACGCCAGGCGAACTGGAAAATCCTCAAAAAGCATCATTGCCACGGCGAAGGAGGTTGCGACACACGGCAGACGACCCAGACGATTGACGTCCTTCACCGTGTTATTGTAAAACACCTTGAAGCCTTTGAAAAGTGAATCAACCTCCTGTTCAACTCCAGTAGCGATGTGATACCCAAAGAAGAACTGATCAAAGTAGTTTAACCAGTCATCCAGAAAGATGGAAGGGTTGCAATCTGCTTGAGGAAGCAGCAGCGACCCGCCAATTTGCGTCGCAAAGATATCCGTCCCCCCTTCAACTTCGCCCACCGAGGGTTTTATCCACGTCTTTACAAGATCCCATTTATCCATCACATCGGAGTACGCCTCGGTAAGAATTTTCGTTCCCCGCGCGCTTACAGCCTCGCGAAAGGCTTGTCGGTCCTCTGGAAGGGCATTCTTGTCCCATCCCAACGACACAATGCGCCATAGATTTTTCCCGGCCCTTGCGGATTCTTGCGTTCGCCTGATGGAACGACGGAGCCGCTCACGCAACCCACGAACCCAGAGCACATGGTTCACAAATAAGTCGGCCCCTCCTCCAAAGACCTTTTCAGAGGGCGAAAACAACGGGGAACGCTCACGATAGGCCCAATAGGTTGTAGAATCTTTTATATTCATGCGACACTGTTCTGGTGTAGAATGCAACCACGCCACGCATGGCACATCGTCCCCGTCAGGACGGAGAAAGCACCCTTCCACCATGTCCAGTTGCGCCTGGGATGCGGCGGAGGATTGATTCAAAGGCTGCACAAACAGCGTTCCATAAAGTCGATCAAGGTCATTGAGTGCGACAGGAAGCATAAGGCGAGACGTCGCAGAGGCCTCTGCCCCACATACAGATGGAATGCCGTGGTGCCCATCGGCAGTATAGAGATGCCCACCATCAAAGGCCATAAATGGGGCCAGAGCGGATTCTGCAAGTTCAGCAGTATCAGGCATTGGTCCCTTGGGTTTGGGAAGCGGCAAAGCCGCTTGCACGGCAACAGTGGTATACATCAAGAGCAAAGCAAGTAAGGGTGCCTTCATCACCTTGAGTATAAAAGCTTTTCTCTTTTCACTTTTGTTTTCTTTTTTACCCATCTTCCTTCTCGCCCTTCTGTGTGAAGTGTGTTTTATTGTTGCCGGAATGAAGCGACTGCCAGGGGATTGGAGGTGGGGAGAAAAACAAAAAAAAAAGGTACGAAAAATATAATCTGAGTGCAAAACACGCGCCGTGGGCCTCGCGATTCTCGCCCCTTTCCCCCAGCCACACCTGGCAAAGGGCGAAACCAACGCCAAAGCGACATCAACAAAGAACCAAACTAGTTAACTTGGAAAAAAAAAGGGAGTGAGGGGAAACACAGATAGTTTGCGTTAAAATGTCAGGAAAATACGAGGACACCAGTAGACCTATGACAACTGAATGCTCAGCAGTCCTTCAGAGGGCAATCCCATCTTCCAATTCATCAGAAGAGGACAACAACTAGTTCACCGACATCCAGTGTTTGACCCACTCCCCCTTTTTTGAAGCTGGGCGACAGTTGGCATCGGTGCCGCACGTTAAGCTTGCCTCTCGCAGACCATTCTTATGGCGGCTGCAAGCGTCGTGAAGTAATAGGCGCGCTCTGAGGTGTCATCAGGGTCGCGCAAGAGGTCAATAAAATGTTCGATAATGCACAACTCTGGAGCATCCACCTCACACAAGAGGTGTGTAAAAAGTGGGAGCATTTCATCCGTGGAAATACCTCCATGATGTAGTCGGGCCACAAGAACCGAATCTAACTGCAGTTGAGAGAGATTGAGCTCCTCCTCAGTGTTATCGACAGATGCCTCCGGGCTGATTGACAACACCATTTCTCGGTACTCGCCTTGACTAGGGCGGCGCAACTGGGATGCGGCTTCTGAAAATTTGTCATCCAACGAATCCTCTCCAGTGAACTCAGCCGTAGTAGAGGGGAAACACGTCTTACCGCGCAACGATTCGGCAGATGCTTCCTTGGGATTTAAACACGCGTCAAGACTTCCGTACACCTCGCTGTCCTCATTGTCCTCCCCCTCCCCATGCTTCATGGTTGCGCTCCTGGGCTCGCATAAAGCCAGGGAGAGGGCGACCTTTGCCTCCGTCGGTGTGTTGCTTCGCTGCGAGGGCGGAGCATGACCATCCACGGCGTCGCTCCTGCTAACGTGACGGAGTCTAGAGCGGGTTGCCAGCGATGCGGCATTCTTCTTGGGGAACCGTGCCGCCACGTAGACGGTCAGGTAGATGCATGCGGCAATGTTGACCACTTGGTCTATGAGGTCGTTGGGACTCTTGAAGTTTGTCAAGGCGTCAAAGTGGCGTCGCACGAGTTTGTAGTTAATTGAGCGCAAGTCCCTCGGAAGACCAAACACGTCCGCGGACTTGCCCCGTAGCAGTTCGCGCTGTTGGTTAAACAATACTTCCTTCTTCAACAACGTGGCGTCTTCCCGGAGGGCAGACATCACTTTTTCAAAGTTAGGCTGAATGACATGCCTCTGCAGAACATCCTCAACACAGACGGCGAGATCAGAGCAAAACGAAGCCCGGGGAGGCTTCACACACCTCTGCAGCAAATCGCTCACACATTTTTCTTTAATTATGTCCAATGCACGACGCAACTCAGTCAGATCCACCGCATCTCCCTCGCCCTTTGCCTTCCAGAGAAGAAATAAGTCATGCAGCTCATCACTTCCCGCAACAGTTCCATTCTTCAACGCCTTATTTATTTCCCAACGTAGCTTTACTAGGCGCCTATTGGACCACGGATATGGACTGTCCTTTGCGCCTTGCCGAGCCCCAGGCAACGAAATAGAACCCATAATGAGCTCCTCCATGAGAATCCTTCTCTGTGTGTCTTTCGCATCCAAGAGAAGCGCCACAGCATTCGCAGATGCGACGTAGCGTTGGATTTCGAGGGCAATCTCAATGGCTTTCGGTGCGTAGTAATGGTACGTGTGATCACCAGCGACATGGAAGTAAAATGCATTCTCTCCCTTGATCCCAATCTTCGTAATAGACGTGAGCGGAAAACGCTTCGTCACATGCGGTGGTGCATCCACCTCCTCTGGCGGCTTGCAATTGTGGATGTGCGTGAGTGTGAACTCCAGCAGCCGTTGCTGCCGCAGCCAGCGATAGCGATGGTGCTCCTTCACGACGGTGTAGCGGAGATCCCGCATGACGCAAGGACCACTTTGACGCTTCTTTCTCCGGCGACTCCTCGCGGAGTTCCCCGTCTTTGTTTTGCCTCCATCCCCCTCGGACCCGCCGCCGTGCATCGCCTGCGCCCCGTGCCTCTCCCTTATCGGGCGTCGACGGCGACGAATGGCGGGCAGAAGCCGCGGCAGCGCGACTGACGACAGAGCGAGGAAGTCCGGGAGGATGAAAAGGAGGGGGAAAAAAAAGGAAAGGAAAACATAATAAAACATGGAGAAGAGGCGCTACGCACGAAGAGATAAATTTACCCTCCCCTCCCCACCAAACAACGACGAAGGTGGGGGGGGGGGGGGGGAGGGCTTCAATGAATGAGGGAGAGTGGCGAC